AGCCGCAATTTGTTGGTTGTGCATGTCTCTCATCTCCTGCATAGCCATCTCCATTTCAAATTTGAAATTCTCCTTCTGCTTGGTTAAAGCGTCCTCAAGAATTTTAGTCAGCTGCTCTGTACTGATCATGAGTGACTCATAGGATTGCCCCGCGCTAGATGTTGTATCATCGGAAGCCATTGCTGAGCATGCATCTGAGCAAGCATCTGGCGTTTCATCATCTGAAGGTAGCCCCTTTTGCATTCTCTGGTAATCCCTTCATCTACTGGTCCCTGATCGTAATCGAGTTATTCGTTGGGATATTCCTGAAAACTGATCAGGACTAAAGCGTCGTATTGATTTCCCTCTACCAGTCATATTGACAGACACTTTTGGAAATTCATCCTCTTGAGCGGCTGATTTCTTTCTGCGGAAACGCCTTAGTTTGGATTTGGATGTTTCGATGGAGATTCTTTCAAACACTAAAATTCTCTCTGGGGCAGTCTTGGGACAGCAGCATTCTGACAATACCGCCTTGATGATCTTGGCACACGGACAACGAGAGTCCGTTTCTCGGGTACTTCCTTTTCGAGACTCGTTCGTACCACCGACTCGATAGTACAACTCATCGGTCTGATGACCAGAGCAACCCATCGTGTGTTGGCACGACTCCCTAGGTATAACGTCATCATCAGACGAATACGCTTCCCTATGGGGACTCAAGGCTTTGTTAGCGTCTTCAGGAGTCACACATTCGATGCTACATTTACGTGAGCGTAGGACCTCAACGGGCTACGGGACTTCGACGCGCAATCCAATGCGGTCAGTTATAGGAATTTTCCCATCATGCGTTCTCCTCCACTGCTTAGGAGGACGATTACAACCTTCAGCCTGAAAAACCGCTCGAGATCCGTTCAATAGGCCTAAGCGCTTTGACTGGAGCTTTGCCTCGATCATCGTGTGCAGGGCCAAGGCGATCTGTGATCTTTATCCTAAATCGGGACAAATCCACGCTGTCGTAGGGCTCCACTGGAGGTGCGGAACTCGAAGAGGTTGACGAAACAGGTGCAGAACGTTTTCTGTCTTGACCTTGGCGCGAGTCAGACTTGAGTGACCCGCGAGCCAGAGGGTCAGATCTGGGTGACCCGCAAGCTGGAGGGTCGGATCTGGGTGATCCGTGAGCTGGAGGGTCGGATCTGAGTGTCCCACGGGCTGGAGGGTCAGATCTGGGTGACCCGCGTCTTTCGATTTTTTTAGCCGCTGTCTTGGACTTTGGCCTCCATACTTTGTGTAGTCTTTGTGGCTTCTTTTCCACTTCTTCATTCTGTAATTTTTGGGCCTCTTGCACAAGAATTCTTGCATGTACAAGCAATGCGCGGCGTTTCTGAATCTGCTCTTAAAGAGTCGATCGGGTCCTTTTGACGCGGACCCATTCGTTCTACGCTGGTTTGAAGGAGGAGGGGTTGTCCACTCGCTGTTGTGGCGGTTGGTGCATCCTGGACTTCAGATCCGCTTCATAGCGGATTCCATCAACTGGCTCCAAGGTTTTGGCCAGCTGGCGTGCGAGGCGTTGTCGTCGTCTCTAACGTGCACTCTTTGATAGAGTGGGCACGTTATTAGTAGTTAACTCCTTGCTCAAGGGGTTCAGATCTGCGGCTTCGACTTCGTCAGATGCCGACGGAGCGTTGCGAGTCACAAGTGCAGCAGTGGCGACGTAGAGATTATCTTCTCGGGTCTTCGTGACGGAAGACCAGCGGATTTTCCTAGATCTGCGAGGAGAGGCAGATCTGGAGGAGGACAAGTATTCCTCGAACTTCGACTGGTCGAATTCATATTCGACCTCTTCGTTCACTCGGATCTTGATTGCCAGTTGCGGCACGTCAACCTTCGCAGAAAGGATGTCGGCTCCCACTGTGGTCGCCAGTTTGTTTTCGTCGAAAGTCGTCTTCATTATCGATTTCATTATAACTTTAATCATTTACAATGAATTCAAATAACGAAAATAAAAAATTACAACTCACTTGAAAATAAACACAAGAATCGTTTATCGGCTCTTGCTTGCGTGGGTTCTTCGCCTGTGCCGGGACGTCGATATCCGTGGACGACCGCGGATCAGATCCGGTTATCGGAAAATTGATAGAGTTCTTACTTCACCAAGGAAGTAGTCGTTTGAAGTGCTGAAATCGACCAAACGAAATAAGTAGCTCTTCTCGAGATTAAGACAAAGCCTAATCTCAAGGAACAGACGGGGAAAAATACGGGTGCGGATCCTTCGAAAGCCTTCCTCTTTATGCTAAAGTTCGCCGGGATCTCACTAACCTTCGCTGAAATTTCGTGCTCCTTGACTCCTCAATCAAGCAGCACTTCGTCCTCTTGATAAAATTCCAACCCTGTAAAATGGAGGCCTTGGGCTGATATTTATAGGCCTCGGGCGCGGGTATTTGGATGAGAATGAGTGATTTGACCTTATCTTCAGTTAGCAACAGCCTAACCACGTTTGTGGATGATATCAAGTCAGTTGGAAACCCCTCGAACAGATAAATCCTGTGAAAACCGCTTTAAAACCGTCAAAAACGTGTTTCGGACTCTGAACTGTGCGATGGGCCCTGCTGACCCGCGGGGGGCGCGGGTCGGCAAGGTCTGACCCGCGGTTGGGCGGGTCGGGAATTTCTAACCCGTGCTGGCG